AGAGACAGAGAGAGAAAGAGAGAGATGGCAGAGAGGGAGAGATAAAGAGATTAATGACAGAGAGAACGAGAAAGAGAGAGAGAGAGAGATATGAGTGATTTCCTTTTTTCGTCCATCGTTTCCTTCTGGCTTGCCCTGGTGTGCAGAAGCCACACGATGGAGTAAGGATCCCTTCTAAATTTCCACCTGAAGACCTTTAAGTAGTTCTTGGCTCTTTGGAGCAGAGGACAAAAGTTTGCCAAGTCCCCGGATTGTATACGCTCTCTCACTCAGAATAGAGCTGGAGGGGACCTCGGAGGTCATCTAGTCCAACCCCCTGCCCAAGCAGCAGACCCTAGACCATTTCAGACAGATGGTTGTCCAATCTCTACATGAAAACCTCCACTGATAGAGCACCCACAACCTCTGGTGGCCAGCAGTTCCACTGGTTAATTGTCCTCCCTGTCAGTAAATGTCTCCTTTTTTCTAGGTTGCTTCTCTCCTTGATGAGTTTCCATCCATTGTTTCTTGTCCTGCCTCTTCAGGGGCTTTGGAAAATAAGTCGACTCCTTCCTCTTCTTTGTGGCATCCCCTCAAATATTGGACTATTGGACTCATGTCCCACCTGGTCCTTCTTTTCTCTAGACTAGCCGAACCCAAATCCTGCAGCTGTTCTTCCTATGTTTTAAGTCTGCAGGCCTTTAATCCTCTTACTTGCTCTTCTCTGTACTTTTCCCAAAGTCTCCACATCTTTTCTGTAATTGGTGGTGACCCAAACTGGATGCAGGATTCCAGGTGTGGCCTTACGAAGGCTTTCGAAAGCGGTACTAAGACTTCGCGTGATTTTGATTCTAGGCCTCTGTTTATACCACCAAGGATTGTCTTGGCTTTTTTTGGCTGCTGCCGCCCTCGGCCGGCTCGTGTTTAAGGGATCGTCCACCGGGACTCCAAGGTCCCCCTCACAGTCACTGTTTCTGAGCCAGGTTTCGCCCAATCTCTACTTGTACCTTTGTACTCCCCTCTCCTCTTAGTAGCGGGATAATTCTCCTCCCGGGAGTCCTCCTTCTCAAACCTGGACTTAGAATAACTTTATTGACGCTTGGAATGTGCGCTAATCGGCAATACGTTCAAATGAAATTTCTGACAACTGGTAAAGCATCCCTATGCCTGTTTTCGAGTTGCCATAAGCAGGAGGGTGGGGGCGGAAACCTAAAAGGAGCAGTACGGCAAATAAAACCAGAAGTACATTCCACACTTATCTTACAAAGGTTGTAGCCTAGGCTACCGGATGTTCTGCCTACGAAAATCCTTCATTGGAGAATGTGATTGATGACACCCAGCCATGAACGTACTTCGGTTGGAGAATCTGACTTATGACACGCCCAGGGAAGGGGAACGGGGGGGGGGAGGGGAACAGGGTCACGGGTGACTGTAAATCTTTTGGATTCTTTTGAAGTTTATCTTGAGGCTCATGACTGAATTAGGGCAATCTCCGGAACCATACAGCTCTCAGAGAGTCTCCGCCACTAATATACATTATATAACCATGACAAGATAAATAAATAAATACATACATACACACGCACACACAAACACACACACGTCTTGGCATGTTCGGGTCTTTTCCTGTGTAAGATTACACGGGAATCTTACACGGAAAAAGACCCGAAAACGCCAAGACCTGCATACCTGTACCTGTGAAAATCTACAAAAACAAACAAATATATATATATATAAAAGCACAACTACAATGACGTGGGAAAAGCACAACTACAATGATGTGGGAAAATACCCGAACAAAGCTGAATGCCATACATAAAAGGCTGTGAACGTCTGACTCACAGACGAACCCAATACAGAAGCCTGATGATGGCAGATGAGATTCTGCCGAAACGTTGCTACAACTTTAAAAGCACAACTACTATGACGTGGGAAAATACCTGAACAAAGCTGAATGCCATACATGTAAGTACCTGTGAAAACTTGAGAAAACACACACACACACACACACACACACACACACATATATATTTAGAATTGGACTCAATGATTTTATTTTATTTTCACATACCAGATCTCCCTGGGAGAAGAATTCCTTATAGATCAGTTCCTGGAAGGGAAAGACACGGATTTAGTGCAAGGTGACAAACCCTTCAAACTCTTCAATCTGCACATTCTTTGGGGAGGGGAGAATGTCCAGAGAGGACATTCACACACACACACACACACACAACACGACACTCCTCTCAAGCCTTGGACCAGGGCTGGGATTCTACAGGTTCGGGTGAACTGGTAGCTCCGAGGATCAGCCGTTGGGCCCACCCACCTACCCGGGCTTTAGGCTGTGTTTTATATCCTGTTTTTCAAGCTCAGTTGATTTGCACGGCACAATGGATTGCCGCACTTCAGCTGTTTTAACACTCAGGGATCGCTGGAGAAGGTCAGTAGCTTTGCACACGGCACTCACCGAACTGGTTGTTACACCGGATGAATCGCACCCCTGCCTTGAACCCTTAAAACTCCTGACGAGTGACAGATCCCTGTCGTGATTTCCCCCAACCTGGCGCCTTTCTGATGCCCTGGGATCTTGCTCTGAGCTCTCCCAGACACCTTTACATACAGGGTGTGTTGTGAGTTAATTTTGTGTTTGCCTCCTAGCAAACTTTATGTGACAGACTCAGGTAGCAGATTGCAGAATGGTAGATCTCTGAGTGAATCTGTGATTCTGTGAGCAACTCGATCTGCCTGCCTGCTTTGCCTGGTTTTGGGTAAAAATGGCTCTTTTTAAAAAATAAAATAAAAAATTCAATATTTACATCAATATTTATCATATTTACATACAAGCCATGCCCAGTCAGTCACGGGACCACCAAGCCGCACCCACAAATTAGGCCACACCCACAGAACCGGTTGTTAAGACATTTGGATCCCATCCCTGCATGGAAGGGGTCTAAGCTATAACGTCCCCCAAACTTTACGCCTGAATGCACTTCAGAAAAGTCATATGACTCGAAGCAAGCAGGGCATCCTGGTTATTTAAAAACCCTACACATGGTCAAGATGCCACTTTTGGTGGCCCAAAACAAAGCAAGACAATGAGGATTCTGCAAAAGAGTTGCGCCATTTGTGCCACGATGAAAACTAGACCAGGAAAACCTCCGGGATTATTTACAATCTGTAGCGGAACCACCCTTGCCCTGGGATGGTTCCCACCCGCTCCCCGGGCACCCAAAGGGACAGGGGATGTGGCTGCAATGGGCAGGGGATCCTTTGGCCAGCGAAGGTGCCAGATTCAGAAGGAAGAGCTCCACCTTCCAAGGGAGGCTGGCACCGTCCAAGATACCAGCCCAGTGGATCCGGGGCTCCGTCCTCGGCCTCCTACTCACCGCGATCTTGCGGGTGGTTTTCCAGCCTTTGGTCTGGTCTGAGAGGTCACAGGAGGTCATGAGAAGGTACAGCAGGAGGCTGTGGTGCTGCTTGTTCCCCGGGTCGTAGCCAACTGCAAAGAGAGGAGGAGGAATGGAGGAAAGGGGAAGGAGAGAAGGAAAGAAGGGAGGGGAAGAGAGCGAGAGAAAGAAGGAAAAAGGAAGAGTAGGTGAAAATGTGGGAGGGAGGGAAGGAAAAGAAAAAAGGGAGGGAAAAGAAAGGAAGGGGGAGGGGAGTAGGAAGGAAAGGAGGAGAAGGAGGGAGGGAGGATGGGAGGATGGGAAGGAAGGAGGGAAGTAGAAAGGAGAGAGAAGGAAGGAAGGGAAGTAGAAAGGACAGGGAAGAAGGGAAAGATGGAAGGGAGGGAGGAAAGGAAGTAGAAAGGAAAGGAGGAGAGGGAAGGATAGAAAGGAAAGGAGGGAAGGAGGAAATAGAAAGGAGAGAGAAGAAAGGAGGAAGGGAGGGAGGAAGTAGAAAGGAGAGAGAAGAAAGGAAAAGGATGGAAGGGAAGTAGAAGAGAGAGAAGAAAGGAAAGAAGGGAGGAAAGAAGGGAAGTAGAAAGGAGAGAGAAGAAAGGAAAGAAGGGAGGAAGGGAAGTAGAAAGGACAGAGAAGAAGGGAAAGATGGAAGGGAGGGAGGAAAGGAAGTAGAAAGGAAAGAAGGAGAGGGAAGGATAGAAAGGAAAGAAGGGAAGGAGGAAATAGAAAGGAGAGAGAAGAAAGGATAAGGATGGAAGGGAAAGAAGAGAGTGAAGAAAGGAAAGAAGGGAGGAAAGAAGGGAAGTAGAAAGGAGAGAGAAGAAAAGAAGGGAGGGAGGAAGGGTGGGAGGGAGGGAAGTAAAATGGAAAGGAGGAGAGAGAAGGATAGAAAGGAAAGAAGGGAAGGAGGAAAAGAAGGAGGGAAGGAAGGAAAAGGAGATGAAGGAGAAAAGAAAGCGAGAAGGGGGAAAAGGCAGTATAATGGCCTCAATGTACACAGTGCATTTTAATTTTGGTCTGTTTGTTTCCTATCAGCCCTGACACGGCATGTTGAACAGATCCACAACCTGCCAGACACAAAGAAAATCTACTTTTTTTGGTGGAACCTCCTTTTTAAAAAACCAAACATCAAACTCCAAAAAAAAGAAAAGAAAAAAAAAGGGGGAGGAGGGGGGAGAGAGGTAATTTAAAGAAGAAACTCCGCTTGGCCTGTTTCTCCCTTGGAAGCTCTGCTAACCCCAGGAGAAAAAAAATCTACGGAGTTTCTCCGTCTTCCAGGTTCCTTTTTCCTCAAGAGGCAACTGGACTTCCTTGTTTCTTCTTTGGAAGACATTTTACTTCTCCTCCAAGAAGCTTCTTCAGCTCTGACTTGAATGGTGGGGAAGGGAAGGATTGATGCTCCTTGCAGACAGAACTGGTCATTTGCATCCTTGTTAGAGGGTCGCTGAGGCCACTTGGAGGTTTGTCTGTGTCCTCAGAGTCACCTGAGTGGTGCAAATTGGGTGTGAAGGGACAGAGGCCTAGAAAACATCCTGCAGCCAAGAAGGTTCCACGCCCATTTGCACCACTCAGGTGACCCTGAGGAGACGGAGAAACCTCCAAGTGGCCTCAACAGTCCTCTAAAAAGGATGCAAATGACCAGCTGTCTGCAAGGAGGATCAATCCCTCCATTCCCTGCCATCCAAGTCAGAGCTGAAGAAGCTTCTTGGATGAGAAGCGAAATGTCTTCAACACAAAAAACCCCCCAGAAAGTCCAGTTGCCTTCTGAAAAAGAAAGCACCTTTGGGGCAACCCCTGGAGAAGGACCTGAATTTGGGAAGCCTCACCGTCAGCCATCTTCTGCAAGTCTTTGAAGATCCTCAAGTGATGAGCGAGGTCGGTGGCCAGGATGATGTCCCTCATCAAATCCAGCATCCTTTGGTAATCCTGTGGGATGAAGAGGTCCATCCTTCACTACCGACTGCCCTGTGGCCTCTCAAGAAGTCCCAGGTAAGGCTCCCAAACTCCATCCACAGCTTGGAGAAGATGGCGGGACAGTTTTGGGGAACAATTGGGTCTCCAGTGACCAAAGACCTCCAGCCAATTTGGGAACTGGGAGTGATCTAAGGGTCAAGTTTCTCAGCCTTCAGAACTTAAAAGATGTGGGGACTTCAACTCCCAGAATTCCCCAGCTAGCACAGAAGGCATTCATTCATTCCTGGAATTCCTGAGCCAGCACGGATGGATTTTACCTCCCAGAATTCCCAGCCACCAGTGGTGGACTTCAGTTCCACCAGCCAGCATAGGAGGATTTTAACTCCCAGAGTTCCCCAGCCATACTTATGGATTTTAACTCACATAGCTCCCCATCCACCAGAGATGGACTTCAACTCCCAGAACCACCCAGTAACCAGAGCTAAACTTCAAT